TCATGGAGAAAGAAATCAGAATGCTGCTTGTCTATGGCTGGGAAGGGTGTTGGAAAGACAGTGGAGAGCAGCTGCTAATGGGTTCAAGGTTTCTTTCTAGGGTGCAATGTTCTAAAGTTGATTGTGTTATTGGCTGTGAACACAGTAAAGAAAAAAATCGCTGAATTGGTTGCACTTTTTACCTTGTATAGAACACTGTGTGGCAGATAAGTTTTATCTGCATAAAATTTAAATATTTTTTTATTATTAATTTTTGAAGGAGAGAGACACAGAGCATGAGTCAGGGAGAGGCAGAGAGAGAGAGGGAGACACAGAATCCAGGCTCTGAGCTGTCAGCACAGAGTCCAAAGCATGGCTCAAACTCATGAACAGTGAGATCATGACCTGAGCTCAAGTCAGACGCTCAACCGACTCAGCCACCCAGGTGCCCCATATCTTGCATAAACCTTCTTTTAAGAAAAAAAAATAGTAATCTAAAGCTTAAACTTCATTCCAATCTTGAAATGACTTTACATACAGATCAATTGTGTTCAGAGCTCCTGAAGAGGCTCTGAATGAGAACCACATTACACACCTCCTACCTTTGACTCAGACACCCACAGTGTGCATTATGCTCAGGTGACTATTTAAAAGATATAGCTCTGGGGCGCCTGGGTGGCTCATTTGGTTAAGCATCGGACTTCTGATCTGGGCTCAGGTCATGATCTCAAGATTCATAAGTTTGGGCCCTGCCTGTGTCAGGCTCTGTATTGACAGCGTGGGACCTGCTTGGGATTCTGTCTCTTTCTCTCTCTGTCCCTCTCCAACTTGTAAATAAATTTAAAAAAAAATAAATAAAAGAGACAGCCCGCATTCTCCAGGAATGCATAAAACATAAAACTATGATAAGAGACATGGCTGGTCTTTTAACAAGAGTTAATTAGAAATTTCGTAACTAATGAGGTGCCTGGGTGGCTTAGTCGGTTAAGTGTCCGACTTTCGCTTAGGTCATGATCTCACGCTCGTGAGTTCGAGCCCCATGTCGGGCTCTGTGCTGACTGCCAGCTCAGAGCCTGGAGCCTGTTTCAGAGTCTGTGTCTCCCTCTCTCTCTGACCCTCCCCTGCTCACGCTGTCTCTCTCTCTCGCCTAGAAATAAATAAAAACAAAACAAAACAAAAAAAAAACAACAACAAAAAAGAAATTTTGTCACTAATCTAGATAAATGCTGATTTATATAAGATACAGTATATTTAGTAAAACTTTTTCTGCTTGGAAAGCAGTTGTTTGGTTTCATTTTTCAGTGCTTTAGAAGCCTAGAAAATAGTTTTTAACTTCTAAAAAGCATACATACAAGTTTGTCTCTACTGTTGATACTCTAGTATATATTGAAACAGATCTACAAAGAGAATATCAAAGAGAAAAAATAAGATAGAACTTTTAGTTGAATACTGTAGAAGGATTAAATCACTTTAAAACTAATCTTCATGCCCAATTTTATGCAAAACAACAGGTGTTTCAAATTAATCTATGAATTATGTGAACCATAAAAGGTGGGATTATAAAATACACATACAACTGTACACTAGAAAATGTCATGTTAAAAGATCAGCTAAAATCACCAAACTGTTGGGGTACCTGGGTGGCTCGGTTGATTAAGTGTCCGACTTCAGGTCATGATCCTGTGGTTCATGGGTTTGAGCCCTGCATTGGGCTCTGTGCTGACAGTTCAGAGCCTGGAGCCTGCTTTAGATTCTGCATCTCCCTCTCTCTCTGTCCCTCCCCTGTCCATGTTCTTTCTCTCAAAAAATAAATAAACATTAAAAAATAAAAAAAAAATCATCAAATTGTCCTTCCATTCCTCTCTAAGCTGGCTCTCAGGAAGGTTTTGAAGATTGATGTATGGGCCCTTTATGTAAGTGATTATTACAGGTAAACTTGTAGTCCTTCTGAGTTACCTGCTCAACAGAAAACCTAACACAGGCATTCCCAATGGGAGAGGGGGGAAATGGAGGGTTTAGATTAACCTGAACTTTTCCAATATAGAAATGACTGCCTAATTCCTAGGAAATATTAGAATATTAGAACTCAGAACAGTCACGGTATCCAGTAGTCTCCTGGACATGTATTTATCAAAAAAGTTCTCTAGCTAAATCTGATATCTCTTCCTAACCCTTCCTTACTAGTTCTGAGCGAATTACGCCATTAGGCCCCTCCCTAGTTAATCTTAACCACCCAGAGGAAAGCACAATCCTGAGGCTTTTTCCACCATATATAGTTTTATCTATTTGAGAATTTCATGTGAATGAATCCCATACAGTATGTGAGCTTTTGTGTAAGGCTTCCTTAACTCAGCTGAATGCTCCTGAGATTTATCCAGATGGTACCAGTGATTCTGTCCTCTTTAATGCTGAATAGTATTTGATTATATGAACATATCACAGTTTGCTTATTCTATTCATGAATACCTGGTCTGTTTCTAGTTTATGGTTACTATGTTTTCAGTTCTCTTGGTTAAACACCTAGAATTGGAATGGATGGGTCGTAGGGTATGTGTATATTAGTTTTAAAGCAAAAGCTTTTCATAAATATGTGTATATATTATAAATATAATTATTGTCAAATTAGCTAACATATAGTGTATACAGTGTGCTCTTGGTTTTAGGAATAGATTCCCATGATTCATCGCTTACATACAACACCCAGTGCTCATCCCAACAAGTACCCTCCTCAAAGCCCATCACCCATTTTCTCCTTCCCCTGCCTCCCTCCAACCCTCAGTTTGTTCTCTGTATTTGAGAGTCTCTTATGGTTTGTCTCCCTCTCTATTTAATAGAAACTATTTTTCTCCTTCTTTCTCCCATAGTCTTCGGTTAAGTTTCACAAGATCCATATGAGTGAAAACATATGATATCTGCCTTTCTCTGACTGACTTATTTCAGTTAGCATAATACCCTCCAGTTCCATCCACATTGTTGCAAATGGCAAGATTTCAGTCTTTCTCACTGCTAAGTAGTATTCCATTGTATACATAAATCACATCTTCTTAATCTATTCATCATCAGTTGATGGACATTTGGGCTCTTTCCATAATTTGGCTATTATTGATAGCACTGCTATAAAACATTGAGGTATATGTGCCCCTGTGCATCAGCACTCCTGTATCCTTTGGATAAATTCCTAGTAGGGAAAAGCAAGAGCTTTTCTTGTCACTGGTCTATTTTACAGTACCAACAATTCATAAGACATCTAGTTTCTCTTCAGTCTTGCCAACACTTGGTATTTTTAAGTTTTTAATTTTCTTTATCATGGTGGATGTGTAATGGTATATTATTATAGTGTTAATTTTCATTTCTCTGATAACCAGTGATGTTGACCATCCTTTTACGTACTGACTAGCCATTTCTGACTCTTCTGGAAACTGAATTACATGTATGTTAGACATTTTGACATTGCCCAGAGGTCTCTGAAGTTTCATTTAGTTTTTCCCAATGATTCTTTTTCTGTTCTTCATATTTGGTAATTTCTGTTGATCTACAAATTCACTGACTTTCTCTTTTGTCTGGTCTATTTTGCTGTTATTCACATCTAGAAGACTTCAAAAAAATCATATTCTGTATTTTTCCATTTCAAATTTCCATTTAGTTCCTTTTTTAAGGTTTCTATTTTTCTGCTGAGATTTCCTATCTATCTATTCATTATGAGCATGAATAGTCACCTTTACATCACTGAAGAGAGAAGTTTTAAAGTCCTTGTCTTCGAATTCCAACAACTGGGTCATTTCAAAATTGGTCTCAGTTGATTGTCTTGTCTACTAACAATGGGTCACATTTATGTGTTTTAGCTTGTTTGTGCATTTTAAGTATTAAGTATTTGGATTGTTTCCTGGACACTGTCAATATTATGAGTGGAGACTCTGGATTCTATAATATGACCCTACAAGGACTGATCTTTGTTTCATTTATTTTAGCAAGCCATTAACTTACCTGGACTCAAACTGAAAACTCTCAGTTCTTGGGCAGTATTTCAAATTCTTACTTCAGTTCTTCTAGTCTAACTGGGTTGGCTGGAGTAGAGTTTAATCAACCTGTGATTTAGGCAGTGTATATATAAAATTTGTGGCTTTTGCTTTCTGTTCTATGGGATACCTCCCTCACTTTCCTATAATTGTGGTTGCTCTATTTTTTCATGCCAGAAAGATAGCTGGTTTTGTGAAGTTTTAGGAATCTGTTGGCCTGTTGGCTAAAATTTGTAAAAAGTGAAAAATTCCCCAAGTACCATTTCTTCTAGAATCACTCACTAATGGTCATTCTCTAATACCCTTCAGGTTTTTGTTTTTACACTTTTTATTTTTAAATATTATTCAAGATTATATTATCTGTAACAGACTGGCTGACAGAAACTTCCTCAGCCACTACTGGAAGCCAGTACTTTTTGAAACCATAATTGCAATGTTCTAGATCACTGCAGTTCACAGGTAGCAGGTAACTCTCCTACATGTGTGAACACCTTCGTTGTTATCAGTTTGGTTATATGCATATCAAGAAGTATTTGGCTTATAGAAGTTATAATTGTTATTATAACTGTGTAATTTAAATAATTACAACATAAGACCAATAGATTATGAGTGTGATGAGAATGTTGCCATTTCTATGAAAATTGCACTGAATGGTTTGAAAAGATTTATGAAAAGTTGCTAAAAATTTCCTGTGAAACTGAATGTAGTGAAGACAGTTATAAACTAAAAAAAAAAAAAAAAAAAAAAATCACACACCTTTAGAAGGAATCTGCATTCAGATAATTTCACAAGAGTTGTTAAGATCTTGCTCTACTCTAATGAAACAGAAGCTCTAAAATTTGTAGACAATGCATGGGTATGGCTTATGCAAAATAGAAGATGTAGATCTCCAATCAGTAGATTCACAAACACCTGTTTGTATATCATAAGACTGATGACTACAAATACATTTTATATGTTTTCAATGAAATAAAAGTTCAACATGGAACTGAATGAGTTTGGTACCTGTAATGCTCCATTTTTGCTGAAGGATGAAACACACTGCATCAGTCGACTTAGCTCTTCAGAAACTGCTTCCACCACCCTGGATAAAACTCGAGGTACCAATTCTTTGGAAATAGTGAACACCTGATGGAGGGGTTTAAAGTAAGAAGAAATGATGTGCTATGGGAACATTTCCTGACCTCAATTTGTTAAAAACAAAGAGATGCACAAAGCAAAACAACTCGCAGCTCTTCGAAGCCATATTTTTAAAGGATCACAATTATGAATAAAGGAAGATACAGACTTAAGTTGCATTAATTAATGGCAAAACTAACCCTCTAAAAATATAGGCAAATAAAATTTTGAAAAGTGTTCTTGATATTGACAAGTTAAACATAGTTTCAAAGACTTTATCTTCCTCTTGCCCTTTTCACAAAAAGAAATATTATTTCTAAAAAGGAAATTATCGAAATAAAAACACACTGTGTCAGTGTTTCCCTACAATTAAAAGAAAAATATATGGGGTCAGACTCTTCTTAGATCACAACAAACACCACATCATACTGGGCACATTACTGCGTATTGGACAATAAAGTCCCCAATTTAACTGTTTGCTGATATTAATATGTATTTCCTTAGACAAAAAAAGATCATTTTCAAACTTTGAATTTTGATATTTTCAGGCTAAGATCTATTATATTTGAAAATGTGGTGAGGGGCGCCTGGGTGGCTCAGTCGGTTAAGTGACCGACTTCGACTCGGGTCATGATCTTGCGGTTTGTGGGTTCAAGCCCCATGGTGGGTTCTGTGCTGGCAGCTCAGAGCCTGGAGTCTGTTTCAGATTCTGTGTCTCCCTCTCTCTCTGCCCGTCCCTCACTCATGCTCTGTCTCAATAATAAAAAAAATTAGAAAAAAAAAAAAGAAAATGTGGTGAAACATTTTACTATGCTGATTTATAAATCTGTCAAATTAAGATCATGTGGGAAATAGTAAATAAACATTATGAATGAAATTCTACTTTCAGTCACTAAGATAATTTAGAAGGGGGTTTGAAAAACCTCATACAAATCATGGTTATACTGAACATTAATCAAAGCTGCCTCTTTAGGAATCACCGTCCTCACTAAAACGTATTCATATTTTGCAATTCCTCTGACTACCACCTGTTTATCTACCACAGAGTGCTGTCGTTGACTGATAATTTAATTTTATACTCTAATTTTATTGGAAGCTAACATAACAAAAAAGTATTTGTATATCTTTTATGATAAAATCATTAAAAATGTATGTGATAAATTCTTGCTGGAGTTAAATCATATATAAAATACTTTTATAGTGGAATGTGTATATTTTCCTTTACTAAGAAATGAAAACTGTAACATACTATGTTTCTCTTTCTGCTCTAGTTGCTTCAAACTTAGAGTCAAATTCAGGAACAAAATAGCATACTCTGTTTCCTTTGGTTACTCTTTTGCTTTAGCCTGATTATCCATGTTTTTCCAGTTTATCTTGGCAAACTTTGAAAATTTTGGGTGAAGACAGCAGTATAAACTAAATATATCTACATCAGATGCATACAGCTTAAAAGGTACTCAAGCAACAGTGGAAATTATCTAATGATAACACCCTTGTGGGCCTCATTTTATCTGGTCACCAATCTGTCTATGAGCCATAACCACTCTGAAAGTACTGGCAAAGCAGTGAGTAATGGATTGTGAAATTATAGATTTGGTAGTCATAGTGGTGATAAAGTGGTAGCTGTGCCTCTTTTGATGTTCCTTAGAAGAGTCCTTCTAAGAAGAATGTTAACAAAGGATGTTAATGTAAAGCTTAAGATGATAATACTTCAAGTGAGGGCAAGTTTTAGCATGAAAAAGAAGCATCAACATCCACATGTACATAAGTCAGCCACTGATAGGAAACCACGCACCTGCTTCCTAACCTTGGCCTGCCCTTTCAGCCTATCTTTCTGATAAGTCTAGTTTTCTGGAATCCCAGCCACTATGTAAGAACACATTGCCACATGAATAAGACACCAATGCTTATTTGTATCCTGGTTAAAAAGAGGTTAATGAATTTTCCAAGAAAAGGAATTTAATATTCCTTTCAATCCAAAGTGAAGAAACAATCTCTCTTCTCCTTACCTTTTGAACATTAATGGACTTAGTTTTAAACACAATTTCAGAAAAAAAACACATCTCTCATAGTTAAAAGCACACGTGTGTGTGTGCATACGTGCATGCATTAAAGTAGAATTCTGTTTAATTTATACCCAAGATACATTTTGAAGGGAAAAAAGACCACCAAAAGAAAAATCATCAAATTTGCCTCTTTGTCTTCTTTTCCAGTTACCCATATTTCTTAGGAACATCTAATGACAGCTTACCTCTGCGTGCACAGCAATTATATTCACCAATGCTTCTTTTAAATAGTTTCTGACACCTGAAATCAAGAAGAGGGAGGGAAAAAAGGCATTTAATGGAAAAAAGCTACCCACCTCCCTTGATGGCATTACTGTGCACTGTACTACTGCCTTAGAGTGTTCTAAGGAGAAACAGAAAGTAACACTACCACTGTCTATTTCCTTTGAGAACCAAATGGTAGGATGACTATTTTCGTCCAGGTTAAAAAAAAAAAGTTAAACATTTTCTTTCATTGTTTCTCTGTAACTGATGGTCAGTCTGCTTTAAAACTAAAATTTAAAGCTCCCCTTCAGTTTCTTCGTGCGTGTGTGTGTATACACATACTAACGTTAGCAGATAAAAAAATAAAAAGACAGATGGAAGATATTTACCAACACTTATAGAAGCTAAATATCTATTAGAATATTTTACTTCCAAAGGTAAAAGTTAAGTTATGCAGAATAACTATTTTGATCTTAAAAAATTACTTGTGGGAAAAATGTCAGACAAAGTCACAGTCAATCCGATTCTGTAAAGAAAGTTAAAGGCTAGACAAAATACAAGATTTCAGGACACTAATGAATTAACAAACACTACCTCACTCAAAAGCTGGCACTCAAAAAGGTGTACATAAGATTTAATAGTGCAGAGTCTGAAGTTAGTTTCATTGCTATGACTTTTGGAAAGAAAACTGATGGCCCAATTTTCTCTGTTTTCAAAGAGTGTAAGAATAGTACCTATCTTGCAGGCTTGTAGGGAGGATTATAGGAGATAACGCATGTGATTGGTCCAGGTACCTACAGGCTCATTAGGGCTTTTAATTATCATTGTTTTCTAAGAAAAAACTGTGAAAACAAAATGCTGATTTACTATAATTCCAAAGAAATTACTTTTACTTGGAGTGGAATATTATTTCAGAATGCCTTCTATAATTAATTGCAAATACTGAGAATTCCTTTTCTACAGAATAGAGAAAATTCTACTCTACTGTAAAATCATAGATGTTAACAGTAACAATGTTAAGGAGACTCTTTTCCCATAATGTCATCTAAGCTACTGATGATTTAGAAAAGTTGAGATAAAGAAAAGGCCAAGAACTATAATCAACTTTCTGAATAGATGTTTTTAGATTCTAAATATATAACTAGCTTCTGATTCTGTCATATGCCATAGTTTTAAATAGGTAACTATTTTTCTTCTGATGAGTCAATTTATATATACTTTGGTATATGGACAGGTTCAGGTGTTCTTCCATTTTTCTGGTGGAAAAATTGAGACATCTGTTGAAGAGTAGACAAATATAATCCAGAAATTAGTTGAAATAAACTAACTGCAAGGCAACAAGTCTTATCTAGGAGGTAAGAGAAGAAAATATAAAGAGCCTATTGTAAGTGAAAGTGAAATAAATCACCTTGTGTTCAAGGCCAGAAAAGCTTTCTTCCTCTAAAAGGAAAGCCATACCACAGAGTTGTTCCCTTGGATTGTTTACCTGCTACAGTCAGAGCAACAAGGAGACCTGGCTGTGACATCTGTCTCTGATGACTATGATCACCTCAGCCGGTATGTCTCATCTTGTTCCTTGCTCTCTGGATAGTTCTTTCAAAGTGAGTGGAGGAAAGCAGGGAAGGGCTCTCTGGTTCCTGAGTTCATAATCACTGTGCTCAGGTCAAGAATTTTTAAATTGTAACCCTGTGTGTACACACACACACTCACACACCATGTATATAGTTACTAAAAATAGAAGCATAATCTTAGGCCAATGCTGCTATAAGGAACTTATGAAATTCAACAGTTTTGGGACAGCTGGGTGGCTCAGTTGGTTGAGTGATCTTACAGTTCATGGATTTGATCCCTCCTGCTGGGCTCTGTGCTGACAGCTCAGAGCTTGGAGACTACTTTGGATTCTGTCTCTCCCTCTCTTTGCCCCTCCACCACTCATACTTTGTTTTTCTCCCCCCGCCAAGTAAATAATAAAAACATTAAAAGTTAAAAAAAAAGACATTTAACAGCTTTTGCTCTTGGTGAGGACCAGGATCCTGTCAATGCTACTATATGAACAAATGTCAAGAGGTTGGGTGCTAGAAATGTTGTAGCAATGATGACTAGAAATGTGAGGGCAGTTTTTAACTTCTAAAATTCTTCAATGTAAAACTGGGGCCAGAGTGCTGACTAAAAAGCAAAAAATTAAACTTAGAATAAAGCAAGCCAGTGTCACATGCTATCAACTCAACTCCCACTCTGACCCTGATAGGAAAAACATTTCCTGGCAAGAACCCATCAGATTGAGCATTACTAATAAAACACCCTGTAAAAGACATAAATCTAAATTACTCAATATAATTGTAAAGACAAAGCTATGAATAGTAAGAATAAAACCACAGGATACTTTCAGCCATTAGAACTATACTGCTGTTAATTAAAAACAAACAAACAAAAAAAGAAAACAAAATCAAGCTTCCTGTTTTAGGCTGACCACAGGTTTCACAAGGATAGTATGTTAAAAGAAACACACAGCCTCAACCATAACAAATTGAGAAAAAGAACCCAAAACCTGTATTTCTTGGAGACTTACTTTTTATGAATAGAGAAAATGAAATAATTCTGCCCCTCCCCCACCACCAAAAAAGAAAACAACACTCGCTTCAAAGAATAAGTGGTAATGTTGGGGAAGAAAGGAGGAAAAATGTTTCTAGCCCTGGGGATGAACAGAAAGAGAGTTCCTGGTCAAACCACATATCAGGTCAGTAAGGGTTCAAAAAGCATTAAATTGAACATATATGGAAAATGCATGCTAACTTAGAGGAGGAGATTTGTGAAATATTATTATAACATCCAAAGCAATATATATGCTGGTGTTAAGAACTTAATAATAAAAATTTTAAAAATATGAAAATAAATAATCGCTTCTCTCCAAAAAGCTACCCATTGTGTTGAATACAAAGATAAGTATTTTTTATTACATTCTAGGCTGAAATTGTTGTTAGTTCTAAATGAATGGCTGAAAGTTCTCATTCATTCATTTAACATCAATTTGTTGAGATTCTACTCCATGGTGGACTCTGATAGGCATGCATCAGAGGTAGTGAGACATTAGGTCCTTCAAGTAGAATATGTGTATATCCCCAGTAAGACCCCAAAGTGTTTAGCTGTTAATGTTTACCCTAATGTACTGCTGTTCATTAGCTGTCTAAGTTGTATGTAGCAAATACACAGTATGAAAGGGTTTTATACTGTAACACAAAATCTTTGTTTTATACTAGCTTATGAAACATTTATTTGTGATTTGCATTTTGTCAGGTTCTTGAAAGGTTAAAGAATAGTATTTGGGAGGGGTAGAGAAAGGGCACTGGACGTAGAGACTAGACAGTGTCTGTGTCTAGAGACTGAGGTCTGAAAGTTCACATACATGAAACAGATAAGATCTCTGTGGTCTTCCTAGTTAAGAATTTCAATTCCTTTCTCTTTATTCCACTCAATAGCCAGTTATCAGCCTAAGGAGAAACAAAACCTCTATCACAGCCTACTCCCTAGCCAACTTTCTCTAGCACCTACTCTACTCACTCAGTGGTCTAAGCTGAGACTTTCATATGTGTCTCTAAAAAACTAAACATAGATTAACCTCTCGGATTTAACTGCCTGTTAAATTTTCTGTTTTAAAATGTTGCTTCAGGGGCGCCTAGGTGGCTCAATAGGTTAAGCATCTGATGTCAGCTCAGGTCAGGGTCTCATGATTCGTGGGTTCGAGCCCTGCATCAGGTTCTGTGCTGATAACTCAGAGCCTGGAGCCACTTGCTTCAGATTCTGTGTCTCCCTTTCTCTCTGCTCCTCCCTAACTCATGCTCTCTCTCTCTCTCAAAAATAAATAAACATTAAAAAAGTTAAAAATAAAATAAAATAAAATAAGATAAAATAAAACCGCTGCTCCAAGGAGCACTTGGGTGGCTCAGCCAATTTAGTGTCCAACTCTTGGTTTTGGCTCAGGTCATGATCTCACAGTTCTTGAGATCAAGCCCCATGTCAGGCTTCAGGCTGACAGTGTGGAGCCTGCTTAGGATTCTCTTTCTCACTTTCTCTCTCAAAATAAACACATCTTTAAAAAATGTTACTCCAATTCTAGCTGTAGGAGGATGTCAGTCTCTCAAAGATCTGTACCAAAAAAACAGTGGCAGGATGCCAGAGGTTGCCTCACTTGCTCATGCGGCACTATGTCAAAGGACCCCAACAAAACACAGGTGACAGAAGGTAGCAATCTTCTTTTGGGTGGCTAGAGTGACCAATTTGCTCTTTTCTGACCTCGAAGAGGAAAGTACATGGAGATCATGCCACAAGGAGAGAAATTCAATTACTCAGAGTTGAGAGAACAGATTTGGATTTAGGAAAATGTAAAGTTGGGTCTTGCCACTGACAGCTGAGCTAACTTCCTTGAATGGAAAAGGTTAGATTTAGAAAGCAAGAAAGAGGTAGTAAGAATGCCAAGAAAGATTCTAGAGCCATCAGAGAAGAGCTGTACATAAATTTTGTTATTAAAGTGGCTCAGGCTTTGAAGTGGATGGCAGGGTTTAAAGGCGCTAAGGTCATGGTACTTGGATTTTATGGACCAGGATTTTATTTTTGGTTATGGCACTATTTTCAAAAGGTCCATGTCTATGTTGAAGGGACCATTTTGTAGTTAATTTTGGTAGTATTTGTTTCCTTCCCACTATACTTTATTCTAATTTTAAGATTATTTTTTTTTAATGTTTTATTTATTTCTAGGAGAGAGAGAGAGACAGCGTGAGCAGGGGAGGGTCAGAGAGAGAGGGAGTCACAGACTGAAACAGGCTTCAGGCTCTGAGCTGGCAGTCAGCACAGAGCCCGACGCGGGGCTCAAACCCACGAACCGCGAGATCATGACCCAAGCGAAAGTCGGACACTTAACTGACTAAGCCACCCAGGCGCCCCATCTAATTTTAAGATTATTAACAATAATGGTTGATGATGACTTTTAAGTTCATTGAGGTAACAGAAAGAATACTCAATGTAAAGTCAGAAGACTTGGGA